GTCTGTCTTCCTGAAACAACAGTCCGTAGAGTAATTGAACTCTGGCAAAGCGCAGCGTGTGGTAAATCCTGGATGCTAAAACACGTGCAACGTCGGGCCTTTTTTAACAGGAGGATGTTAAGCACACAGATGATAGTCTTCCATTTAGAGCTGGTTTCTACTTGCTTGTCTCTGTCTGCCGACGGCATACCGTTTCACGCGTTCACAGCTCACATACGCCCAAATTCACTTAACACGTCCGCACAGAGCCCGCGATAGGCAAGGTCATTCCTGGCAACCAGCACGACCTCCTGGAAAAGCAGCGTGCCCAGAGATCAATTGTTTTTAAAGTTTGTGATCAGCGAATGTCGATGGCCACTCTCCGCACTACATCAACCACCACCATTTTGCACCAATATTTGTCGTCGCCAGGCTCGTCGCTGCGCTTAATTTGGGACAATACCCCAGTAGCTTGTCGCTACGGTTAGTTAAGGACAGTGCACCAGCGTTGCGCTGCCATTTTATTTGGTGTGCGTGTGCGTGTGCGTGTGCGTGTGCATGTGCGTGTGCGTGTGCGTGTGCGTGTGCGTGTGCGTGTGCGTGTGCGTGTACGTATGCGTATGCGTGTGTGTGAGCGTGAGCGCGCGCGCGCTGTGTGTGTGTGTGTGTGTGTGTGTGTGTGTGTGTGTATGTGTGTGTGTGTGTGTGTGTGTGTGTGTGTGTGTGTGTGTGTGTGTGTGTGTGTGTGTGTGTGTGTGTGTGTGTGTGTGTGTGTGTGTGTGTGTGTGTGTTCCTGACCTACTTCGAGGCGTATCTCCTCGGGCTAACAAGTATTTGAGTGCATAACGCTACGGTTGGAGCATCATTCGTATGCATGACATCAAACGCCGGTAAACGCCCTATTCGAAACAAAAGTAAGAGACAGGATTTCAGGACCAACTTTATGTGTCCAGTTTATGCAACAAACGCTGCCAAAACTTGAACAGACATAAATGGCATGTGAAGCTAATTCCGGACAATGCGAACGCTCCCGCCGAACGGAACGTTTAAGCGCCCCCTCCCCCCCCCCCCCCCCCCCGCTTTCCTTCGACGTTCGTTCCAATGAGATCATACGGCCGAGGAAATCACATATATCCCGCAATTATTAGAATGCCTCATCAGCACCCACAAAGGGTGGGGCAACAAGTGTCACCACACTATCCTCATTCGAAGCCATCGCCAGCTGAAAGCTGCCCGCGCTGAGATTCGAACCCGGACATCCCAACCAGCCGCAAATTCGGCACCAGTCTCAGCACTTTAGTCCGTGGTGGTTACCTTGAGGTGCCTCCAGCAGTGGAGGACAGAACGTATCCCCGAAGCTGTACTGGAAGGTAAAGTTGGGTCCGATGGCCGCCCACATGAAGTGGGCCACGGTGTATGACACTATGACGTCACGGTTAGTGTTGAGTATCAGCGGCAGCGCTCCCTGGGACAAAACGTGGGCCATGGCGTATGACACTATGATGTCGCGGTTAGTACTGAGTATCAGCGTCAGCGCTCCCTGGGGCAGAGTGAGCCACGGTGTATGACATTATGACATCACGGTTAGTGTTGAGTATCAGCGTCAGCGTTCTCTGGGACAAAACGTGGGCCACGGTGCATGACACTATGACGTCACGCTTAGTACTGAGTATCAGCGTCAGCGATCCCCGGGACAGAAAATTGGTCACGGTGTATGACACTATGACGTCACGGTTAGTGTCGAGTATCAGCGGCAGCACTCCCTGAGGCAGAAAACACAATTATGAATATGAGACCTAGCGTAATAAATGGAGGCACGTTTCCCGGTTGGCATTGTGTGCCATGCTTGGTTTAAACTTCATACCTCGTGTGAAAGCAAGTACAAATATGCGTTTATCATACAGACATAACCATTGTAGGACACAACACATTGAGCGGTGGTTATGGTGGAATGTTGACAAATTAGACGTGTCAATTCAAAACAAAATTGTTGATACAGTGCACTTGTCACGCATTTATTCATATCGTTTGCAAATGTCATTTATAAGCATTCTTGAAAGAAAAATATTCGTAGTTTTTAATAAACTTGTTAAGCTGGACAATGTTCTTGAAAGGTGCAGGTTTGGGGGTCTCGTCACCTTTTCCCAAAGTGAAATTATGCACTTGGGTATTGCATGATATTACTCACCGTGAAGTTGCCACAGAGGCAGCCGATAGGCCTGCCATCTGTTGTCAACAGCTGCAGGTGGTCTACATCATGCAGCGCTACCAGGTCCAGCAGGCAGCGACATCTGTTGTCGGCACAGCTAGTCAAGCAGTGCGGGCTGTCCCGAGGCTGATCTGATGACGTCACCTGGGGAACAGATACGAGAGCTCAGCTGTTAGGAGGTCCTGTGAGTGCTGGTTTTATAAGGAGGACCCGTGGCCTGTGGCTTAGCATTGAAGCCCGGTCTAGAAGAGGGATGGTAGACCGCACTGTACCGCTCCTGACGCTTACGATCGGAGCAGACGCCCTTACTCGCTGTGACGTCAGTCGACATGGACGTGTGGGAGGAATGAACAGCAATATAGTCTGCGCAGCAAAACAGGTTCACCGCCAGCCGCGCTGTTTCTAATAAAGCTAAAATATAAATAAACACACACTTTGCCACGATCACGTCGGTAGCGATCCGCTCCGCAACGTCGCGCGTGCCATGACTGCGTGTCTCACCTCCAGCTGCAGACTGCCGCCTCGCACCCTGAACACGTGCCGGCAGTGGAGCGGCCCCTCAAAGTCCCAGAGAAGCGGCGCGCCCTCGGGCATCGTGAGCTGGCCGGCGCGGGCGCTCGACGCGGCGTTCGTCTCAGCGTGACAGAGCTGGCCCGAGGCCAGCTGACCCTCGCTCGCCGCTGCAGGCATGGAAGGGGGGGCAGTGGTTAACCGGCATAGGACAGGGGTCAGACGGTACGAACTGGAGTCAGATAGCACGAACAGGAGTCAAACTGCACGGGACAGGGTCAAACGGCACAAACAGGGGTCATATAGCACAAACAGGGGTCAGACGGCATGGACAAGGGTCAGATAGCACGTACAGGGGTCACACGGTACATACAATGTTGAGACGACATGGACAGGGGTCAGATAGCACAGACAGGGATCAGACAGCACAGAACAAGGATCAGACGGCACGGACAGGGGTCGGGCGGCACAGACAGGGGTCAGATAGCACGCCTAGGGGTCAGACGGAACGACAGGGGTCAGATTATCCGAGTGTTTGAGGGAGCTCCGTAAGTCCGAGACTTGTGGAGCTCCCAGTATGGTTCACATACCCGACTCAGACTCTGACCGGGATGAGATACTCCAGAGGTCCAGATCTATTATGACCTAAAAGGTCATAATAGATCTGGAGATAGATCATAAAAGGTCTCCAACTAAGGTTCAGATGCACTCACGACGGGGTGGGCACGAGCAGCCAATGAATCCAGAGGCGGTCAAATCATCTCCAGAGAAGGTCTAAAGATATCTGGATATCTGGCAGCCCGAGGCATATCTCGAGCATATTCCGGACAACCGCAAGACCGGGTGGAACTGCAAATGCGGCTTGCCACACTCCAAAACACGTGACCCTAGCATATTCCCGTAGGACGCGAACATTATGTAAAAATTTGAGCCATTTAGGGGATTTTGCAAGTTCATCGGTGTCCCAAATGCAATAGGACACTATTGTCAGATGCGACAGCTTTAAATGGCGTCCAATGATTAGGCAAATGACACCCAAAAAGCAAACAAGCTTTTACAGTAAGCTTTTTGGGCACTTGCGGCTTCGGCTCCATACGATATTCCGGTTATCTGCCTAGCCACCTCACAAACTCAACATCTTCGTTTTTCGTACGTAGATTGCTCCAAGTTTTGTTTTCCGTTCTCTTTGTATAAGAACTGTTGGGAGGGCCTATTGATATGAAAAGAATAAAAAATATAAAAAGCAGCCACCCAGACCTACAGTGCTTAAGCACATTCAGCTAAGAAAGCTACCAACTGTTGAAACACTCTTCAACGCACTTTAGACAGTTCCGCAAGTATACAACACTGAAACATTTTAACGAGCATTTTAACACCACTCCTATCCATATGCAGATATCAAAACGTAGTACAAAGGTACGCTAACACGCATCAAAAGGAGAGAAACAAACTGAGCATTATCAAAACACTTATTATCATCAGACACAGATTTTCCTTAAGCTTCGACTTCAGCTTGAGCTGGGGATTAATTGTTTGAAAGATATTCATCCCCCTGGATCTTGCGGTGGATATTTGTAGGAGGCTTAGCTGTAGCCGATTTTTATTCATGGCCTTTTTTTAGGTAGCCTCTATGTTCGTTCGCTTTTGTACTGACGGCCTATCTAACTAATAACCATGGCGACACATTCGCAAATGATGTTGTAACTGCCCATTTAGTTTGTTTTCATCTAGTTTTAGACTGGTGAGTGTGCGATCCTCCACCTTTCCGCACAGCTTATCCCTTAGAGTATCATCAGGCGGTCTCCCTACGAGACTGAGAGTATCAGCAGGCTGTCTCCTTACGAGACTGAGAGAACGGCGGAGCGTTTCTAGCTTCTCACCGACTTCAGGCGGGTGCGATATGGAAGTGCGTTTTACCTTGTCCAGTGACGGCCGCGTCTTATGCATGATCTTATATGCTCCCGGTAGGTGAATAAAAGAGGGTTTCTGGATAGCTGGTGCCAGGGAACACGTGATCGAGCCTTGCGATTCTGTCCTGCCGTATGCTCTTTTGGTAGATTTTCTGAGGTCTACTAGTCAACCATTTAACTAAACCTCTTGTAATTGATATGTTTCGGTTGGCTTAAGTTGCACCTCATGCACACGTTTGTATGCGTCTTCTCTCGATGCATGGCTGTGATGAGATGGCTTTCACCCTTCATTACAGTCACGTCCGTAAAGGCGATTCTCCTCTGAGCTTATGTTCTATTCTGATTTGATTTTTAAAATATTTTATTTAGTGTTGTGGTGTCCCTTACGCCACCAATTAAGAGCGCGGTAGAGAAGTGGTTAAGCTCCGCGTCTAGGAAAGCGTAGGTACGTGATTTGATTCCCCGCGGGGTCGCCTTTCCGCCAGGGTGAGAGGCAGGCGCAATGGTGCACACATACGTAATAAATTACGCAATTCGCCCCCGAATAATGACCCTTGTCATGAAGGCATATAGCCAAGGAAGTGTCCTGGAGCGGTGAGCATCCTGAACTGGTAAATGGACTGAATACGGACAAAAGACCGTGAGGCGGCCAATAAGCTGCCAAATTATCAGCTTCCTCGGGTTAGTCCGTAACTCCTTAGAGGTCCAATAAACAGCTTATTGATACAACATGATTATATTTCTTTGGAAATATCTAAGATGTCAAGGAAGCGACCAAACTTGCAAGAAAAAAAGCGTTTCGCATCGAAAACGCTTAAGAGTTCCAGGAGCGTTGGGACGGCCTGAAGTCACGTGACATTGACGAAATAAACCACTGGATTAAATTGCAAGGAATTTTAGATGGGCTTCCGGGAAAGCGGAAGATCCAGGTCGTGTCTCAGCTCAGAAAGAAAAATCAAACCGACCAACAATGCCTAAATGCACCACCATCATGGAGATACAAGCTTAAACGGAGGACCGTCATGCTAAACCTGACGAATAGTTCGGTACATTCTTTGGTCGCCATTATCCTAGTCCATCGTCATTATCTGGAATGGATGACGTAAAACGTCAAGTATATAACAAGATGTCTTATCTGGGCTACTTCCATGCAAAATCCCAGCAATGACGAAATTTTACATGAAGGTTGATATTTATAGCCGGAGGTTGCTATCATGAATAATTGTTTATCAGCATCGTTAACTGCGCTTGGTATACAATGCCAGAAAAGCTCGGCTTATGAGTAAAATGGTCATTAATCTTCTAGCAGTACAAAGGAGCAAACACACAACCTATTTGTCACCAGCCATTTGCAGTCTGTTCGGTGAAGCTTCCGCCGCCCGGGCTCAAACCGCACCACACGGGGTCAACCAGCGGGGAGCATCAGTCAGCGCTCGTAACGACCTTTATACGACGCAGGGCAGACGTTCGACAGCGCCGTTTGACACGTCTCAAACGACGCCATTCACCAACACCAGATGGCACCAGGAAGACGGAATGCAGATGGGTCTCGGAACGCCCGAGGAGGATCAATGATGCAGAGACGTTAAGTGGAGCGTGCTCCGTCGGAATCCCCTCCGGCGGGGATGTCACACACGGTTCGTTTCTGGCGGCCCAGAAGACCTTGGCGACGGCCCGACGCCTCAGGCTCGCACCATGTAGCGCTGCATCATAATCGGTGATTTTACGATGCATGAGACCGGCCATTTAGCATGGGAATGTTCCGCGATGGTGGTAGGTATCATTCGGCTATAATTACTCGACTTAACGCGACTCTTGCGGCAGGAGATGTCCATTCCATGTCATGGAATTACAGCCGTCAAATGCTGCCAATAGCCTTTCAAAGGCAAATGACATAGTAAATACGAAAATGAAAGCATAGCTAAAGTTTTGTTAAACCGACACAGCTGAGCGGCACCGACATTTGATCTTTAAGCTGGGCGGCTTGATCCAGCATGGTGGAACTTACCTCAGACAGGCACTCGCACGCACATATGCAGCAATTTAACATCATACTTTTCTTAAAATGGCTTGGAAACGCCAGCAAATAATTAAAGGGGTTGTGTACGGTGACGGCTTGTCCGGTGCAAACCGAAAGTTAATTGTCTCCAGTTGAGAAACCGGTTTGGATTTGATGGCAGACAAACTTATCAGCGAGAAGGTGGGGGAGGGGTTGGAGGAGGGGGGGGGGGGGGGGTGGAGGAAAGGGGGAGGGCGTGGAAAATAAACATTACAGTTTCATAAAGCTTACCGAATTGGCTACCATCAACACAATTGTAACCACCAGCTTACCGTTATGAAACATGTACGCCCCTTCCACGAAGTCATCTTGTCTGTCTTCTGAACGCGGTCGCAAGCTCATGAACATCTTGTTTGTTGACGACCAGATCTTTTCGGTGGCGGTAGCTCTGTTGAAACCGAGGCATGTCAGCGGGAACACTACATTTGTGCTACGAAATATGAGGCTCATGTGTCACGTTCATCTGATGAAAATGTGTAGCGTTTATTTGTTATTGCGGAACACAATCTGTATGTTATGAATGTCATGACCCACAGCGATGACATTAGTTTAGCTTAGGCTTGGAACCTAAGCTTAACTTTGAAACTGGGAACTGCACCTGAAGGTCGGGCACAGCTCCTAGCTTTGGTTAAGGCCGTGTGTCTATCATTCGTTTTCGCTGATAGATATTCAGCATTCTTTGCAAAACGGCATTATTTCCAAAAACCAAGGACACCTCCTCTTGGACTCCGATGCCAGCGTTCACGGTGGCGACGCCCAGTTCCTGAACACCGACGTCCCATCAAGCTCACGGACCCTCAAAATACGAGTCAAAAGCGGTCTCTGTGGCTCTGAAAGGGTTCACTGAGAACAGGCTAAAAGCAAATCCACCTCAAGCCGAACATCCTGAAATCCACTCTTCTAAATTCGGACATCCATTCCCCAGTCTACTTCAGAAGCGACGACATATCACCTTTGCCAGTGTCAAGGTTCTGGATGTCACTGTCGACCAGCGCCGAACATGGGCCAAATATATCACCAGAGTAGTTACGCGTCCCAGTATCGTATTGATACAGCTAAGATGCCCCACAGTTTACCCAAGGATAGGGAGCGGATGCCCATCGAAGCACTGGTCTTCCCGCATGTGCGTTACTATAGATGGCACAGTAGCTGCAATGTTGCGCATTGCAACAGCGCATATATATATATATATATATATATATATATATATATATATATATATGCACATACATTACGACATATGGCGCAGGTGCAATGCGTCGCAAAAAATACGGTCCAGAAGTTCTTACTCCTCGGCATCTGTATCGTGTCCGGGCTGGACCGATGTGAACACGTGACCACGGTGCTGCAAGAGCTGGGGTGGGGGTGAGTTGATGACACGCTCCAGGAATATTACGTCGCGATGGCATTCCGCCTCCGTGTGGCACCAAATTCGCCAGAAATTACGCGAGATAAAGCCGTCGGCCGCTCCGCAGAGCCCGTCCGCCGCGCTCGAGCGGAGCATGGTTCCCTACAGCTGCCATGTGCGCAGATCGAGCTCACGCGAAGCCGTTTCCTATACCGGGCCACCAACGGCTGGAATCGTGTACCGGCAAACGCCAGGCTGCTGTCCGTCCAAAGCACTTGAGTGTTGTGGTGCCCAGACTGCGCGGAGACTGGGTGCAATTTAGCTGTTTTCCACAGGCAGCAGGTGCTCCTCTGCCAAACAGCAGTGTGGAATGCATATTTACGTGCCCGATGGGACGAGGAATTCCGTAATGCCAGCCTTTGAACCGAAATAATAGTTTTCGCTCTAGAACCGTGTTAGTGGCGCACGCTCTTGATGACTAGATGTGATAGCGTCATTTCGTGTAATTTACGTCGATATCACAAAGTCCATTAGATAGGAGTTCCGTAGATAACATCTTTCTATGTAATAAATCTTGCTGCCTAAACACAATTTTAAAGCTGCATTTGACACCCAACACCCAACTTCCACACACTCTCTCTCTC